CAGTTTAACAGTCGAACTCCTGATCCTCAGTCGTTAGGTCCCTTAACAGTCTACAGCTGAAGCTGAATATATGGCTTTAGCACACATAGCCAAAGAAGCTGTGTGGCTATAGAATTTATTAAAAGAAATTTATTTTAAGTAGAAAACACCTACCAAGTTAAATGAAGATAATCAGTCAGCCATTGCAATCACACATGACCCTCAATTTCATGTACAACTGAAACGTTTTGATATCTGACACCATTATATTTGTGAGAAAGTGATTGAAAATAAAATACAAATTAAGTATTGCTCTACAAGATATATGCTTGCAGACATACTTATGAAGCCACTTCCCAAGCCAAGGCATCAGGAGTTGCTGGGCTTGATAGGTATGCTCATCAGCTTGAGGGGGAGTATTGCGAGGCAGTCGAGGAAAGGACAAGCTGAGAGCATGTGATGTGTGGCTGAACGTCAGCCACACAGCATTACGCATGTTTTCATACGAAGTAAATCCTTGCATATATATTCTACACGTTACAACTCTAGAAAAATAGATACTTATTCTCGCTCCTTGCTCTCAACCATCATCCGGATCAACAAACTCCATAAGCGAAAGGCCAGGACATGTGCAGATGCATCACCGCTAGCATGGGCACCGCAGACACCATCAAGCACATGAACATGCCCTGCAGTGGCACCCACGCAAAGAGGCGCTGTGAGTACACAACCATCGCAGGTAAGAGCAGGCCCACCACAGTGTCAAAGAGCATGCACGAGAGCAAGATGTCGCAGACGACGGTGTTGTCCGCATCACCATAGATCACCTTGACATTTAGGTGCAATACGCGCAGGAGGTCCGTGGTTGCCTGCGGGGCGCATGGTGGCAGAGGCTGAGTGGGTGTACCTCGAAATAGAGCTGCGGTGAGAATTGGTGCTGCACTGTGCCCGCCACAGTGCTCCGAGTGGACAGCGCATTTGCGCCAAGGGAGCGTAATGGTGGTGTGTTCTGTGAACGCGTGCTGCGGGCGCACGTTCAGCGTTCAGCGGCGGGCGCGCTGTGTATATGTATGGGGGTAACAGACCTCAATGCTGTGCTGCTGCACGCTGCCACGCTCCTCGCACAGCTGCCCCCCCTCTCAATGCGCCGCGCTCAACGCACGGCCTTCTTCGCATTGCCACACCCCTTCAATGCGCCTCCTTCCACCGCCATCTCACTGAGCAGCAAGACGACGGCGGTTTCCTCACCCGTT